TTTTTAAATTTTTTTTTTTTTTTTTTTTTTTTTTTTTTTTTTTTTAAATAACTAAATGTTTATCTAATATACTAATAAACTAAGATTTTTGTTTGTGTTGTTTGTGTGTAAAATTATCAGGTTGAATCATTTTTTTCAATTTTGATACATGTACGATTTCATTTTTATTGCCAAGGTCGATAGTATACATATGCTCGGATGGTATATCGATAATTTGAAATGGTCCTTTGAATATGGGATCCAATTTACGTCTGTTTAACGAATTTTCCAAACACACCATAATATATTCACCCAATTCAAACTTAATATTTAAATGTTTTCGATCAAAGTATCGTTTGTTTATCAGATGTTTATTTTGACTGTTCTCAATGGCTTTTTGTCGGTTGATTGTGATATCTTCGCCTTTGTAATAATTATATGGATCTTTACCCAAAAGCAGGTACGATGGCGGAAACTTTGTGGACGAATGGATAGTGTCATTATATTCGTCAACCACTTTTTCAGCACAAATTGCCCATGATTTATTAGGAAAGTCAATAATTTTACTTCTTAATTTACGGATGAGAGTTTGATTAACTCTTTCAACCATGCCGTTAGATTCTGGGTGGTCGATTGGTGTAAACAAAATTTGTATGTTGGATTGATATAGGAATTGTTTAAATTCTTTTGAATTAATGGCTCTATACCTGTCGGCAACAATTAATTTTGGTTCGTTGATTTTTTGTATTTTTTTAACTAGTTTAATAAAATCACCGGAATTTTGGGTTTTGGATGATGTTGCCCATACAAATCTTGTAAAAGAATCAATTGCTAAATGAAGGTATCGTTTTTCAGATTTTCCTGACAGGCCACCGACAGTATCCATAAATATGATGTCAAAAGGACTTTGTGGTGGACCCAACTGTCCCAACGAACCAATTTTTTGATTTTTTTTTGATTTCAAACAAACGGCGCAAGATTTAAGTATTTCATCAATCGACTGATTCAAATTTTCTGTATAATATTTTCTCGAAAAATGTTCATTCAATTGGCATAGTCCGATGTGACCGTATAAATCATGCAAGTGCCATAGTAATTCTATGGCAGCTTCATGGGGTAAATATATTCGTTCACGGTTATATATAATTCCGTTTCGTTTTTGACAATTTTTCGGTAAGATGGAAATCGGCTCTTGTAAAGTTCTGATCTCATCGGTTGTTAGATGGAAGATTTCAACCGGATTTCGTGAAAGAAAGTCTGCTTCCTCGTTTTCACGGCCGGGAATATAATTGATGGAAAAATTATATTGATTCAGCCTCATCGCCCAGTTGAATAACCTGGTGCGTGGTTGTTTTTGTTTCATCAGCCATTTTAGTGGCTGGTGGTCTGTTTCGATAACAAATTTCCTTCCTACCAAATAATAATGCCAGTAATCTACCGCTTCAACAATGGCCAGACATTCTTTTTCGCTAATCGTATATTTTTGTTGGTACGGTAATAGTTTGCGAGAGAAATATGCGATTGTTAACATGTCATTCTGATCATCTGGTTGTTTAAGAACCGCTCCGATACCTACATCTGACGCATCGGTTTTGATAATAATATCTTTGTCAGCATTGAATATTCCCAACGCGGGTTCAGTAATCAGTATAGCTTTGATTTTGTCGAAAGCATTTTGTGCTTGAGAAGACCAAATGAATGTAGTATTTTTTTTTGTCAATTCGTATAATGGCTGAAGTAATTCGGTTCTGTTTGGTATAAATTTATGATAATAATTTATTTTCCCCAGAAATCCCCTTAGTGATCGTAGGTCATGTGGGGGTAAAAGATTTTTTACAGCTTGAATTTTACTGTTGATAGGTTCGATTTTATTAGGTGAAATATGAAATCCCAAATAATTGATCGATTGTTTTGCAATTTCACACTTAGATTTTTTTAGTTTGATCTGTTCTAGTTTGATCATTTCGAATACCAGATTAAGATGAAATAAATGTTCTTCTTTTGTTCTCGAAAATATAATGATGTCATCGATGTAATTATGTGTGAATTTTGATAAACCGTGATCCAACAATAAATTATAAATAACTCTTTGGAATAATAAGGGAGCATTTTTTAGCCCAAACGGCATCACAGCCCATTCAAATTTTCCATTCATGGTAATAAAGGCTGTTTTATTTTGATCCTCTTTGGCCATACCGATATGATGGAACCCCGCTGAAATATCCAAAGTCGAAAAATAATTGGCACCGATAAGTCGATCTTCAATATCCTCGATGCGTGGCATCGGAAATTTCTCATCGACCGTGATTCGATTAAGTGCTCTATAGTCGACACAAAGTCTTTCTTTTGTTCCATCATCCTTTTTGTCAACGAGTAATACTGGAAATCCGTATGCCGATTTTGATTTTTGGATTAACCCCTTTTTCCGATAATCATCAATTATTTTATCTAATTTCTCTTGGTCTTCGATTGATGTACGATATGGTCGTAAATGAATAGGACTTTGTGTAGTGGTATTAATAAAGCATTCTTCACTAGTTATTCTTCCCACTTCACCCTTTTCGATTGCAAAAATATTGTTAAACTCGGTCATTATTTTATCGATGGCTTGACTGAAATCGTCGTTATTTGATTGATCGATTTTGAATGTGCAAATTTTTGGAATAAGTTTGTGTTGATTATCCATTTTAAAAATTTGGTTGATCGAATGATCCGGATTCTGTTGTAAAGAAAATTTACTAATCATTTCGATACCAACGATTATTTTGCGACCTGACAAAACGTAATATCGGTGAGGTTTTTTTATTTTCCCAATGGTCGTATTGATAATAATATAACCTTTAAATTCGGCAGTCGTATTATTTGGTAATTTAAATGCGGTAGTGCGATTAATATAGGTTAATTTGAGTTCAAATATAATTTCATCCCCAATAACGCTTACTTGTGCCCCCGTATCATACAATGCTTCATAACTTTTATCGTTGATATTAATTTCAATGTAGATTAGTTTCCCATTTTGGGTCTCTAGTCAACTGTTGAATTCCTCGATATGTGAAACAACTGGTTCGGGATTCTGTGTACTTCGTGTTGGTACCCCAGATCTCAAACCATTCATATTCGTGGTGGTTTGTCGGTAATTTGGATTTCGGTAGACATAATTTGATGGATTATTAGATACGTGAAGCGGTGGATACGGGCGGAAACGATTGTTGAAGGTATTTGTTGAAAATCTTTGATTAGGAACCGTTGATTGAGGTGAATGATATGTTGGTTCTCTATTTTTTGTTAAAAAACGTTCTTGTTCCAGCTTTATCATTCTATTTGATAAAAATTCGATCAATTCTTTTGCATTTAATATGTTATTGCTGGACAAGATGGTCGCCGATCTTATAAAAGACAAGGGAATTTTATCGGCAACAGCATGAGTGAACTCATAATCGAGGAATCCCGCGTTGAAAGGATCTTTTGATAGCGAACTATAGCTATCTTTAATTACACTGATGTTTGTGCGTAATTGATCGATGTCACTTTCAAATATCGTACGCTTAAGATCTTTAATACGTTTAATGTGAAACTCCCGAATGGCAAAAGGATTTGAAAAACGTTCTTTTAAAATGCTCAACGATTGAGTGTAATCATCTTTGGAATTGCCAGAAAGCAATTCACGTGATTTTGGATCTAGAAGTTTGAGCAAAATTAGCCATTTTTTAGCCATTTTGGCGTTGGTTCTATCTACCAACTCTTCGAATATGGTAATGAACCTGGGAAAGTCTTGAAAATTTCCCTTGAAAGGTTCGATTAGTTGAACAGACTTCCAGTCTAGGCTTTCGTCATTGATTGGTTGTGATAATGTATTTGATGAGTCTTCGAATTGCACATTGACAATCGGAATTTGACAGTCATCACTAATTCTTCTAGTTGTGGTCGAGGTTGTGGTTGTGGTACTCATTTGATTGATTGATTTGATGGAATTGTCTATCAAGGACTTTATTTTGAATAATAATTCGTCTTTATTCGCACAACGAGATTTGTTTATTGAAGTTCGCATCAAAAATGATCTTTCTAAGATTGATTCATAATCTGTATTGGATGATGCACGATTATATTGAATTTCAAGATTTTCCACTTTCTTTATCAAGTAAGACATTGTTAACAAAAGGAAAAAAAAAAGCGAAAAGAACAAAGAACAAGACACAAACACGAATAAAGAAAATTTTGGTTTAACGTTGTTGAACTGATTGTTGAATAATGAATAAGTTGAGTTGAGAAGGATAAAATAAAGCGTGTCTGCAACTAAATTGTTGTAGATGAATATGACTCATTTATGAGTCAGCAACATGTGCGTCGATTAGATAATGTGTGTTGAAAGAGACTTATGAGTCAACAATGAACATCAAAATAAACAGTGAAGTTGATGAGATGGTTTAATTTGGTTTTTTGTATTGTAAAATGTTTGTGAATGAATGTCATTTGAATGTCAAATATATCACCAAAATTTATGTTTGTTGTTTTTTTTTTTTTTTTTTTTTTTTATGAGTTGATGATAGGTTTTGAGTTGTTGGCCACGTGGTTTTATTCAACGTGGAAATTGTTTTCCATGTATGTATTGATATCGAACAATTATATTAAACAAAATGGATAGGCATTGAAAGAAAAAATAAAAAAAAATATTGGATTTCTTTTTTGACAGATTCTTCCCCCAATTAAATGATGAATTGTTTTCTAAGAAAAGAGAAATAAAAAAAAGAAAGAAAAGGGAGAGAAGAAAAAAAAAAAAAAAAAAAAAAAAAAAAACCCTTTTGGGGGGGGGGGGTTTTTTTTTTTTTTNAAAACAAACATTGAATAAACAGAATTTTGCCTTGATTATTATTATTTCCATATTGGATCTTTTCATTCATTCACTTACAATATGTGTTATCATTTCTCACTTTCATTTTGTTATATTCTGATGTATTGGATGTGTATTTCTTTCTTTCTTTTTTGTGTATAAAAATTAACATATTTGGAACAATGAAAAAAACCTTGTTTTGTTATCAATCAAATGATGATGGATTCTGATTCAGTTGTTGTTGTTGTGTGATTTTAGATCAGAATCAATTGATTGTCAATGTTACTTATTTTTTTAAATTAATTAACCCTTTTCACATCTGATGATGAATTATTAATCTCTCTCTCGCTCTCTCTCTCTCTCTCTTATCGAATTTCGCCTATGGAATCTCTCTATTCATTTCATATTATCATCATTATTATTTTGTTTTTGCTTTACACACACTCACCATACACCATACACACACACACAATAATCATTTATTTTCATAATAATTTATATATGATTCACACCACGAACACACAACACACCTGAGAATCTTATTTATATTTTTTATTTTTGAAAAAAAAGAAAACACACACACAAAAACTTAAATGTCACATTGATGATACACTGAAGTTGAATGAAAAATTATTATTTAAAAATTCACCATACAGCTATTTTTGCCAGATGAACAAAATGACAGCAACGACAGCAAAACGAATTACAAAATTACAGAATCACCTGATGATCATCTGAATTTGCAAAAGAATTTTCATTTTTTCGCTGCAAATGATGAGAAAACATTTTTTTTTGTTACAACATTCTTTCGCTTGTGAAAAATTAACTTTATTGATTGATTAATTTTTGATTTTTTTGATTTTTAATTCATTGAATGATTATTATTATTATTATTATTATTGATTATTATTATTATTGATTTATTATTGATTGATTTTTTTCAGGAAAAAACAATAAAAAAAAAATTTAATATAAAAAAAAAGATCTATTTGTTTTTCATTGGTTTTGTTTTTCCCAAGCAGCTTTGAATATGTGAATTTCAAACGAATGAAATGAAATGACAACGACGACGGATGGAATCTAATTTCATTTGGATTTTTTTTTAAACTGTCTGTCTATGTTTATGTGTTTACTTTATGCAAAATGAAATAAACAACAAAAACAAAAACAAACTGGGAAAAAATGAAATAAAATTTTTATCATCAAATTTTAGATTTCCATTTCCATTTTCGTCTTCATCCACCACCACCAACAAATTCAATCAATCAATCAATCAATCACTGTGTAATTGATAATTCACCAAAAAGATAAAAATGAAACGAAGAAGATAACGATTTTGATATGAGAAAATGATCCTAATCATAATTCATTCGTTTTAAAAAAAAACTTTATTTTTTATTGGAAATCAACTGACATGATCGACCGACCGAGTTGATTTTATTTTTCAACCCAATATATTTTTTTGGTCTATTGATCTAATTTCCTCTTTTAGTTTTTTTCGATTCAAACATCTTCTTCATAGACCAAAATATTACAGGATCAACTTGTTTGCTGCATTCATTTTCTTTATTTATTTATTTATTTTTATATGT